TATAAGGATTGCCACTCCTACTTTCTTCTGATGTCCATTAGCATGGTAAATTGTTTTCCACCCCCTCACTTTAAATCTGGAGGTGTCTTCGGGTCTAAAATGAGTTTCTTGTAGGCAACATATAGATGGGTTTTGTTTCTTTATCCATTCTGATACCCTGTGTCTTTTGATTGGGGCATTTAGCCCATTTACATTCAGGGTAACTATTGAGAGATATGAATTTAGTGCCATTGTATTGCCTGTAAGGTGACTGTTACTGTATATTGTCTCTGTTCCTTTCTGATCTACTACTTTTAGGGTCTCTCTTTGCTTAGAGGACCCCTTTCAATATTTCCTGTAGAGCTGGTTTGGTGTTTGCAAATTCTTTCAGTTTTTGTTTGTCCTGGAAGCTTTTAATCTCTCCTTCTATTTTCAATGACAGCCTAGCTGGATATAGTATTCTTGGCTGCATGTTTTTCTCATTTAGTGGTCTGAATATATCACGCGAGCTCTTTCTGGCCTGCCAGGTCTTTATGGATAAGTCTGCTGCCAATCTAATATTTTTACCATTATATGTTACAGACTTCTTTTCCCGGGCTGCTTTCAGGATTTTCTCTTTGTCACTAAGACTTGTAAATTTTACTATCAGGTGATGAGGGGTGGACCTATTTTTATTGATTTTGAGGGAGGTTCTCTGCACCTCCTGGATTTTGATGCTTGTTCCCTTTGCCATATTGGGGAAATTCTCTCCAATAATTCTCTCCAATATACCTTCTGCTCCCCTCTTTCTTCTTCTGGAATCCCAATTATTCTAATGTTGTTTCGCCTTATGGTGTCATTTATCTCTTGAATTCTGCCCTCGTGGTCCAGTAGCTGTTTGTCCCTCTTTTGCTCAGCTTCTTTATTCTCTGTCATTTGGTCTTCTATATCGCTAATTCTTTCTTATGCCTCATTTATCCTAGCAGTCAGAGCCTCCATTTTTGATTGCACCTCATTAATAGCTTTTTAAATTTCAACTTGGTTAGATTTTAGTTCTTTTATTTCTCCAGAAAGGGCTTTTATATCTCCCGAGAGGGTTTCTCTAATATCTTCCATGCCTTTTTTGAGCCTGGCTAGAACCTTGAGAATCATCATTCTGAACTCTAGATCTGACATATTACTAATGTCTGTATTGATTAGGTCCCTAGCCATCGGTACTGCCTCTTGTTCTTTTTTTGTGGTGAATTTTTCCGTCTTGTCATTTTGTCCAGATAAGAGTATATGAAAGAGCAAGTAAAATACTAAAAGGGTGGCAAAGACCCCAGGAAAATATGCTTTAACCAAATCAGAAGAGATCCCAATCATGAGGGGGAAGAAAGGGGATAAAAAGAGGTTCAGAAGGAAAAAAAAAGAAAGAAAGAAACAATTAAAAAAAGAAAACGAATAAAGAAAAAATATAAAAAAGAAAAAAATATATATATTAGATAAACTGGTTCAAAAACGTTAAAAAAAAGAAAAGGGTAAAAGTTTAAAAAGATTTAGCAGAAGAAGAGAGAAAAAGAAATTGAAAAAGAAAAAAAAATTAAATTAACTGCAAGGCTAAAGAATCATGGGGAGAAAGCCGTGGAATTCTGCTGCTCTCCTTGGTACTGAAACTGCACTCCTTGGTAGGTGAACTTGGTCCTGGCTGGGTTTCTTGTTGATCTTCTGGGGGAGGGGCCTGTTGTAGTGATTCTCAAGTGTCTTTGCCCCAGGCGGAGTTGCACCGCCCTTACCCGGGGCCGGGCTGAGTAATCCGCTCGGGTTTGCTTTCGGGAGCTTTGGTTCCCTGAGCGCTTTCCGTAGTGTTCCAGAGGATGGGAATGAAGATCACGGCCTCCCAGTCTCCGGCCTGGAGGAGCTGAGAGCCCGGGGCCCCACTCCTCAGTGCGTCCTCAGAGAACAGCGCCCAATTACTCCCGTCACCCTGGCCTCCGCCCGCGCTCCGAGCTCACCGAGCCTGCGGCCGGCCGGTTCCAGGTAACCCCGGGCTGAGAGCTCACTCCTCATCTCCGTCTCTGTAGCCGGCTTCCCCACTCTAATACCTGTGAGCTCTGCGACACTCAGACACCCCCGATCCTTCTGTGACCCTGCGGGACCTGAGGCCACGCTGACCCCGCGTGGGCTTCACCCCGGTTAAGCCTCTGGAGCGATGTCCCTCAGCAGAACAGACTTTTAAAAGTCCCGATTTTGTGCCCCGTTGCTCCGCCGCTTGCTGGGAACTGGCCCCTCCCCCAGCCGTCTATCTTCCCATCGCTTTGGATTCACTTCTCCGCCAGTCCTACCTTCCAGAAAGTGGTTGATTTTCTGTTTCTAGAATTGCTGTTCTTCTTCTCTTCAATCTCCCGTTGGATTTGTAGGTGTTTGCAATCTTTAGATAAGCTATCTAGCTGATCTCCCGCTACCTGAAGTAGTCTCAGCTGCTATTTCTCCGCCACCTTGACTCCTCCCCCCACCTCCTTTTTTTTCTTTAAGATTTTATTTATTTGTCAGAGAGAGAGAGCGAGTGAGCACAAGAGGGGAAGCAGGAGAGGGAGAGGCAGACTCCCCATTGAGCAGGGAACCCGATGCAGGGCTTGATCCCAGGACCCTGGCATTGTGACCCGAGCTGAAGGCAGACACCTAACCGTCGGAGCCACCCCGGCACCCCAGGACGGGACTTTGAAAGACCACGCCGACAATGAAGACGTAGGGCGGAAATGGTCTGTCTGGCAGTATCGCGACAAGAGAAGGAAGCTGATGTCCACAAGGCGGGAGGAACACCTCTTCCCACCCGACAACCAGGAGAAACGCCCTCATGCTGGCTTAGGGTTCTTGTCACTCACGCCCTCGGGGAACGCTCAGGCTGAGGGATGAACACAGGACATGGCCCTGGGCAGGGGACTATGCTTGGGTGACTGGAAGAAGGCAAAAAAACATCCAGGGGCAGTGCGGCCTCAGCCCAGGTTCCCTCTAGCCAAGGAACAGGTGTCCCGCTTGGGGACGTCCACGATGTGAAGGTCAAGGCAGTCTGTGCATGGGAAGTCCTGACGAGATAGGAATGAGGATCATCAGGCTGGGTCTCTCCAGATCGCCTGGACCATTTCAGAAAGAGCCCAGGGACATCCACCGCCAAAGGACTCAGGGAATTCCAAGCGGGACTCACGGGAAGGGACTCCCACGAGCGATCGCACAGTGAGACATCGGGAGCCGCGCAAAACGAGAGATGACCTTGACCCCGAGACCCGTTACTGGGAGGTTGTTTCCAAGATGTGTGCGGTCACTGCCAAGCCAAGGTCCTCCGCTGGGGGGAAGGGGTGCGGGGAGGGCCTGACAGGCGGGGTTCGCAGGGCGCCTCTGCCCGGGTGAGCTGCGAGGCTGTGCAGCAGGAGGGACCCTCTGAGCCTCGGTTTCCCGGCCTGGCCCGCACGCATGAGCTCCACGCTCCCCTGCCAGGGCTGAAGTGACCATGAGGTGAACAGGTGTGTTGCCCGCAACAGAGGATCCCTCCGGCGGAGCCTCTTCCATTCCAGACCCGCCCTCCCTCCCTCGATCCCACAGAGCAGGGCCGCAAACAAGGAAGCGACTTTGGAGCCGCGGGAGAAGCCAGAGCCGCTGACTGAGCGCCTGCTGTAGCAGAGAGCTGGGCCCCTTCCAGACGCCAACCTTGCTGTGTCCTCCCCGGGGCCTGGGGGGTGGGAATTCTCGGGAATGCCCACGGGAACCACTCGAGGCTCAGAGGGGTGATGGGCCGGCGCGATGGAAGGGCCAGGCCCGCTTGTGCCTGTGCCCGCAGGGTCCGGGAGCCGCTCTCTTCTCCATGGCTCCACGGCCCCTTCAGCCGTGCCTGGAGGGAGCGGGAGAAGCCCTCGCCCCCCGCAGCGGCCCTTCTCCGAGGCCACTGGAGCCAGAAGGGTGCAAATCCCTTCCCTCCTTCAGGGAATCTGGGCAGGACCAGATGCCCAAGGGTCCCCTCGGCGCAGGCAGGGCGGGCCAGACCGGGGTGGGGGCAGCCCCTCCTCCTCACTGCCTTGCCTGGTTCTCCCCGGGTGAGGTGGGGGTGGGGTGGAGACAGAGGGCGAGCAGAGCGACCCCACCACCCAGCTTGGCCTCCCGGCCCCTTTCTACTCGCGGGTGTCACCTGGCCCCAGGCCGCGTGGGACACACTGCTCGCTCCTGCCAGCTAGGAGACCCCGGCTGGCTCTCAGCTGTTCAAAGTTTCTTCCTCCCAGGTCAGGGCTGGCCCCTGTCCTGAGGGTCACTGCAAGAGGGCAGCCGGCACTGCACGCAGGGGGCTTCGTTGAAGGGAGCATGTGTCTGTGCCTGGCTGACATGGCCCCAAGCCTTCTTCTAGAGGCTCCTCTGAGGTCGGTCACCCTGCGGCCAGCCAGAGGAGTTCACCTCCGCCCAGCTGTCAGAGGAGGATCATTGGCCCACATGTCCCCGGCAGCTCCCTGGAGGCCATTCTTCCAGGAAACACGACTCCCGACCCGCGCATCTGGTCCCCCGGCTGGGCGCTTCAGCCACAGCCCAGAGCCTGGCAGTGCCGGGAGGACCCAAGCAGCCTGAGCGGAACAGGGAGGGGGACTGAGAGCCCAGCTCGAAGCTCTAGGCCGGACGAGAGCAGTGCAGACAAGGAGTGAGGCATTTGAAATGGCAACAGGCAGGACCGAGGGACCCCAAGCTGTCAGCTCGTCATGGGAACAGAGTTGAGTACAGAGGCGATGAGACACTAGACAGGGAGGCGGGCGCGGGGCGGGTCCGAAGGCCCTGGAGCTAGTGTGGGGCGACAGGGGCTCTAAGGCCCTCCCATGGTGCTCCTTGCTGGACAGGGCGCTGGCGGGACTGAGCACGCAGCCAGGACGTGCAACCAAGAGTCATCCCCCTGACCCTTTGTGCAAGGTGCTGGCCGCACAGTGTCCCGGGGCAGGGAGCAGGGCTCTTGGGAGAAAACGCGGGTGGCCTGGGGTCAGGCAGGCCTGAGGGGCTGGTGGCGCGGCTGTCCCCACAGCATGGTGACGTGACTAGTTGATGGCCCGGAAGGTGAGGAGCGGGAGGGTGGAGGGTATCAGGATGAACTGGTACGTCATCTTTATATCCTCCTGCGTGAGGGTCTCCACCAGGAAGTGGTTCAGCACCTAGGACAGAGGCGCGGCTTCCACCTGCACAACTGCTCAGCCCCCGGGTCCTGGCCTAGCCTCCCCCCTCGTCCTCCTTCCTGGGCCCTACTCCGTGGGCTGCGTGCCGTGCCGTGCCGGGGAAGCCAGTGGTTCCCGGCCAGGCCGCCCAGCACGCCCAGCCCCCACCCCACCCACTCCCCCCCCGGGCCGGGCCCTGCCAGTGGCCTGTCATTGCGGCCGGGGCGGCCCAGGCCTGCTCACGTGGTGCAGCAGCAGCAGCATCTCTGTCTCTGCCAGGCGCCGCCCCAGGCACTGGCGCAGGCCGAAGCCGAAGGCCAGGCTGGGGGACCTGGTGCCAGAGCTCCTGCTGTCCAGCCAGCGCCGGGGATGATAGCGCTCCGGCCTCGGGAACACAGAGGGGTTTCGACCCAGGGAGTAGAGCAGCACCTTGACCACGGTCTGCGGAGAGGTGGGGAGGGGCAGCGTCAGCGCCACGCTGCGGGCAAAGGTCAGCCGGGCCTGGCATCTGCTGCGGGGGCTGTGGGGCCCCACTCACCCCTGCCGGGATGTGGTAGTTCTGCAGCACCACGTCCGAGCCCACCTGCCGGTCCAGTGAGATGCCCACGGGGTACAGCCTGTGCACAGGGGCGTCCAACGGGGACCTCAGCTGTCACCCGGACCCTCGCTTCCCTTCTGCGGCCTTCCTAGCCCAGGAGGCACCGGCGAGGGGAGCTCCCCGCCCCGCCCACAAGTGGCTTCGGGCACCCGGAAGCCCAGACCATGAGGGGCGGGCTCCCTGCACCTCCGGAGCCCAGGCAAAGCTCTCCGGGCCTGGGCGGTCCGGCCGAGGAGGGCACAGCCGAGGGGGCGCCCAGGGCACTGAAGCGGGATCCCAGGGGAAGAAGCGCCGCTATCCCTCAGGAAGAAGAAGAGGAGCCCCTGTAGGGCACGCATCTGGGGCAAAGCCGCTCGTCAGCCCCAGGATCTGTCTGCAGATCCGCTGAGCACGGCTCTCCAGACCCTGGGGCCAGGGCCGCCGGGGCGTCCAGGGTCTGCCACACCCACCTCAAGGTCTCCTTGAGGGCCGCCCGCAGCAGGGGCAGCTCCGTGGTTGCCCTCTGGGGATTCTCAGTGATCGTGGCCTCGGCCACCAGGCTCTCCTGGCGTAGGGCCTGCTGCACGTCAGGGTTCCGCGCCAGCTCGAAGAGAGTCATCAGCAAGGGGTAGGCCGTCTGCGGGAGCCACGGGTGCGGGGCTCAGACCTTGGCACAGGCCACGCACCTCCGACCCCAGGGGATCTCCCCCAGGAAGACGCCCTTCCCCCGGGGGTGGACTTGCGTGCCCAGGGAAGCGCCGACCCTGGGGATCTGAGACCTCGAGATCTAACACTCGCCTCATCTGCTTCCATTGAATCGCTCAGGGAAGGTGTCCCCACTGCTGGGGAAGACCCAGGCCACCTCCTCCCGTCCCCCCTGCTCCTCACCCTCCTCGGGGGTCCATCTACTCAAGTGTGTATAGGTGGGGGGGTGGGGGTGTAGCCCCTCACCCCCAGACCCGTTGGCACCCATTGCGTGATGTCCCCTGGGCTCCCATAGGCAGGCCAACCCACACCCGGGGGCCCAAGAGGAACGGGCCACCCTGGACCCTAACTGGCCGAACCGTAGCCTCTGCTCATGGGCTTTCTCCAGCCAGGGCTCTGTGCCTCTGCCCAGAACCTGCGGGCCTGGCCCAGAACCTGCGGGCCTGGCCCAGAGCGGGACCTCAGGGATGCTGGCAGATGAAGGTTGGTCGTAGGGCAGGAGGCTCACTGCACTCCACACCCTGGGACCTGCCTGCACCTCCCTACACCACCCAGGCCCCTGGGCTGGGCTGCCAGCTGCTCTCTCTTCCACAAGCTGGAGCCTCGTGCTGCCCTCTGTGTCTTCAGCCCATCACCTCCAAAGCCTCTGTAATGAGAGCCAAACGGACCGTGACCCCGGCAGGGGCTCCTTGTGCGGGCATCCCTGGCTGCGCAGCTGCCCCTCAGCCCCCTCTCCTTCCCAGGGCCCAGACGTCTGCAGGGGTCTGCGCTGCTGCATGTCCCTGGGCCTCACCCATTCCGCACTGGGCCTGGAGCACGCTTCCCTCCAGAGCATCTGCAAACCCTTCTCTTGGAAGGTCAGCTCCTGAGTCCTCTCCCCCCCAACCTCCTCAGATCATAGGCTTCTAGCGGCTCCAAACAGGGGCCTGTAGGAGCCACGTGGCATGGGGGGACACTGCCTGTAGTCAGGAGGCTCCGTGTGCTAGGGCAGGGCTGGCTGCTGGCCTGACCGTGTCCACGCTCCCGGCGGTGAGTTCGATGGAGTTGGCCCTGACTGCCTCCAGGGTCATGTCCGCGTGCATCAGCAGCTCCCCCACGATGCCGCTATAGTGCTGTGGGCGGCCGAGGGCCAACTCCTGGTAGATTTTCTGGATGGCATTGTTGGCTGTGCGGCAGGGAGAACAGGGGCCTGGGCCTGGTGCTGAGCAGCCCCTGTCCTCATCCCTCTACCTGGCAGCCCACCACAGCCCCGAGACTCCCTGTTCCTGTGCCAGATGCTCAGGACCGGCCCAGACCGGCCTCCCTGCCAAGTCTCTTGGGCCCCGAAGACGCCATGAGCCCTGTGATGGGGCCTCAGCACCCCCCCACCCCGATTTCGGTGAGTGGATATTGGGGGCCCTGGTGTCCTTGCTACCCAGCACTGCCCCGTCTCTGGGCCTCACCATACTGGAAGATGTAGTCCCAGGACTCGAAGTGCTCCTTCCACACCTTGGCGCTCGTCCAGCGTGACAGGTCCCTGGGCATGAACATGAGCTGCGCGGTGGACTTCAGCATGGCCTCCAGGGCGCGGATAAAGTGCAGGCTGGCAGGACTCGGGCTGTGGCCAAGGAGGCCCAGCCGCTCTCCAAAAAGGGCTAAATTGCTGGCTGCGGAGAGGGCGCGGCTGTGAGCCTCGGGCGGCCGGTGGCCTCAGGGGCCTCCTGCGGCACAGCCACGCAGGCCCGGTCCGGTTCCTGGCCCGCCCCTGCCCCCCAGAGCCCGGCACCTCCCTACCTTCTACGGTGTAGTTGAGGATGCTCGGCTGGATGTCCAGCGTCAGGCTGCCCCGGGCATTCTGCAGCACTCTCGACTTCAGGGCCTTTGAGAAATCCCTCGCCACCCCGTCCACCATGGGGACGTACTTCTGCGCCGCCTGTGGCGACAGCACGTGTGGGTTGAGCTTTAGCCGGTTCGCGCGCCATTCGGGCCCATTTCTGGAGAGCAGAGGGCGGAGCTTCAGGGAAGCCGGAGTCAGCAGCTCGGGGCCAGCCCCGGACACATCTTCTCCGTCCCCAAGGGCACGGGGTGGGGCAGGGAGCTGCCTGCTGGTCCTGAGGGGCAGATGCCTGCCTGTCAGCCTCAGCCGCAGCCCTTTCTCTGAGGGAGGCCTTGGGTGCTGTGCCCAGCGTGCTCCCGTCTAAAGAGGGGCTGACCCAGAACTTCTCCGTGGCCAGGCCACGTGGGTTCCTGGCGTTCACTTGTGCACACTTGCCCGCCCCTTGCTGGCCCGTCAGCACCCGTCTGGGCCCTCCCTTTCCCAGGAGGAAGGAGGGAGGGGGGACTTCCTGTCAGCCTTTGCCACCCTGCTCACACCAGGCCCCAGAGGGAGAGGCCCCTGGCACGCTTCACCGCCCACCCTCCCCGTTGCTGAGAATGCTATCCCTGTGCCAGTCACACCGAGTCCTGTCCCGGCCTGTCTCCTGGTCCTCCAGGGCAGGAGCCAAACCACGGGTCATGTCATGTGCTCAAAACACAGCCCAGAATTGTACTTCTTCCTTTCCCATTTGCATGACTTTTGTTTCTTTTTCTTGTCTGATCGCTGTGGCTACACCTTGAGTGGGTAAAGAAGAAGTAGTAAAATGTTCTTCCCACCTGTAGATGCCATGATACTATATAGAGGGAAAACCCTAAGGTGCCCAGCAATAAAACCAATACAAAAACAAAAAGAACTGATAACTAAATTCAGTAAGGTCGCAGGACACAGAATTAATACACAGAAACCTGTTGGATTTCTGTGCACCAATAATGAAGTAGCAGAAAAGGATATGAAGAAAACAATCCCATTTACGGTTGCACCCAAAATAACAAAATATCTAGGAATACACTTAACCAAGGAGGTACGAGCCCCGTACTCAGAAAAGTGTAAGACGCAGATGAAAGAAACGGAAGACGACAGAAAGAAATGGAAAGCTATCCCATGCTCATGGTTAGGAAGAACCAGTCTTGTTAAAATGTCTGTGCTGCCCAAAGCAATCTACAGGTTCAGTGCAATCCTTATCACAAGAGCAACATTTTTCACAGGACTAGAACAACGAATGCTAAAATTTGTATGGGGCCCCAAAAGACCTTGGCTAGCCAAGGCAACCTTGAGAAAGAAGAAGGAAGCCGGAAGTACCAGAACCCCAGATTTCCGCCCATACGACAAAGCACTAGTGATCAATTAATTCTGTGTGGTGCTGGCACAGAAGCAGGCACACCAATCGATGAAAGAGGATACAAAGCCCAGAAGCAAACCCATGATTGTACGGTCAATTGTATGGCCAACCTATGACGAAGGAGGCAAGAACACCCAATGGGGAAAGACCGCCTCTTCAACAAACGGCGCTGGGAAACCTGGGCAGCCCCATGCAGAACAATGAAACCAGACCACTTCCTTACGCCACACACAAAAATAAACTTGAAATGGATGAGAGACCCAAGTGTGAGACCTGAAACCACAAAACTCCTAGAAGACAACGCAGGCAGTAATGACTCTGCCATGGGCCATAGAAACATTTTTCTAGATGTGTCTCCGGAGACAAGGGAAAGAAAAGCAAAATTAAGCTATCCGCACTTTGCCAAAATTTGGAAAGGTTTTGCACAGCGAAGAAACCATCAACAGAAGAAAAAGGGGGAAGCTGCTGAGTGGCAGAAGATACTTGCCAATGGTATGTATGATAACCTTAATATCTAAAGCATACAAAGAACTCAAGCAGTAGCACACGGAGCAAACAGACGATCCCATTGAAAATGGCAGAAGACCGGAAGAGACCTTCTTCCAAGGAAGACCTAGCGATGGCCAACAGACACGTGAACAGGCGCTCAGCATCACCCATCATCAAGGAGGTCCACATCCAACTGTAACGACACATCACCTCACAGTGGTCAGAATGGCTAAAATCAAAATCACCAGAAACAACGGGTGTTGGCGAGGATGTGGAGAAAGGGGAACCCTTGTGCGCTGTTGGTGGGAATGCAGACTGGTGCAGCCACTCTGGAGAAAAGCGTGGAGGTCCCTCAAAAAGCTAAAACGAGTTCCACTCCTGGTTATTTACCCAAAGACAATGAAACCACAAATGCGACAAGATACCTGCACCCTGTGTTTATTGCAGCACTGTTTACGATGGCCAAGATACAGATACAGATAGATATTTGTATACATGATGGGATACTACTCAGTCACTAAAAAGAATGGGATCTTGGCCATTTGCAAGCACATGGATGGACGTAGAGGGTATTATGCTAAGTGAGAAATGTCAGTCAGAGTAAGACAGATTATCGTAAGATTTCGCTCATTTTGGAATTGAACAAAGCAAATGAACAAACACAGAAAGAGAGCTCAAACCAAAACCAGAGTCTTAAATACAGACAACAAGCGGGTGGTTGCTGGAGCGGGGGAGTTTGGGGGGGGGGGGGGACGGGGATCAAGAGTGCGCGTGTCGTGATGAGCACTGAGCAGCACACGGAAGTGTTGAATTTGACACTGCACACCGGGTCCTAATGTGAGAGTTCATGTGAAGTACACGTCCGTGAGCAAGAAGCAGGAGCAGCAAGAGGAGGAGAAAAGGAGTGGAATAGGAGAAGGAGGAGACGGAGAAAGAGAAGAAGAGAAAGGACAAGAAGAGGAAGAGGGAAGAAGAAGAAGAGAGGGAAGGAGGAGGAGGAGGGGGAGGAGGGAGGGGAGGCAGGGGAGGAGGGAGGGGAGGCGGGGGAGGAGAGAAGCATTCTCCCCCACAGGGTGATGAGGATTCGGTTAGACCAGTCTTCTCCAAGAGCACCAGGGCCCAGAGCAGTGAGGGCTCCCCGGATGCCCTCCTGCTCATGGCGGGGAGGGACCTGCATTCTCAGCCACACTCAAGCAGAAACACCTTCTTGGCTTCGGCTGGCTGCCTGCAGGTCGTGAGAATGATCGCGGGCACACTTGCACACCAGCACACACACATATGCCCAGAAAGATGCGCATAACACAGCGGGACACCTGCACATGTGCTCGCTGACAAGGACAACACGCGTGAGCACACCCACAAGTCCCACACGCACAACTGCCACAGCACACCCGGAACGCTCAAACCCACGCTCACACACGGAGACACACTCGCATGTATGCAGCACACACAGAACCACACGCGCGCTCGCACGCAAAGACTCAAACCACGCGCACGTGCAGACATGCGTACAAGGGCATGAACACAGACGGATGCCAGCCGGCGCGGGAAAACACACACGCGGATACACGCTCGTGACGGCACCTACCGCGGAGCACACAGGAGCGCCGCCACACACACAGCACACACCTATTCCGAGGCTGCGGACAGGTCCACCCAGGAAGACACACACACACACGGGCACACGCACAGGCTCACGCTCACACGGGCACCCGCTTAGAGTTCGCTTCTGAACAAGGGTGCCTTTCCTATCGCCTGCCCTCTCCCCACCCCCAGCCTCTCCATCCCGAGCTACCTGTGCTCACCTCTAAGTCCCACAGGGGACCTCGTGCAGAGGGCTGCAGTCCGGGGGGCCCTCAGGCTGACATGGACGCCTGGCCAGTGACCCCTCCCCCAGGCCTGGGCGTCCCAACCTATAGGAAGGGAGAAGCCCACCCTGCTGGGACAACCCGCGGAGGCGGGCGCAGAGTGGGTGCTCCCTGGTGGCCGTGGTCATCCTTCCTCCTCTCTGGGGCCGGCGTCCCACTGCCCCTCCCCACCCCTGCGACACACAGGGCCCACCTGCTCAGGTCCTCCCTGGCCAGGGGCGCTTGTGGGCTTCCAGACCTGGCTGGACCCTGCACTGGGAGGCGCGCCCCCCGCGCCCCCTCCCCCGCCCCGGCCCCGGCCCCGTCCCCCGCCCTCCCCGCCACCGCCACCCGCCTGGCTCTCACAGCAAGAACACGCCGCATTTGTGCCCACGATGCCGTCGGTAGACCAGCCAGGGATCCAGGAGCGGCCGCCGGGGCTGAGGGCTCTCGGCCCGCTGCAGGCTCTCCACATCCTCGGGCAGCATCACGTGCACCATGTGTGTCCCTCCCACGTCATACCTGCGGGACAAAGCTCAGGGCCCTGCCAGCGGGGCCTGTCCTCCCCTGGGCCTCGCTCCGCGGCACCAAGCCGGCCTGTCTCTGGCGGGCCTCTCCCTTGTGCAAGGCTGTGGACGCCGGCTCAGAGCAGGCGCTCCCTCCCGCTGTCTAAGCCAGGAAGCCTCTCGGGCTCTGCTGTCTGCACTCCGCGCTCTCAGCGGCCAGCCGGGGACTGCTCCGTCCTCACTGAGAGCCGCTGCCTCCATGGTCAAAGGCCCAGAGCAGCCACCGCTCGGCTCCCACCCTGCCTTCTTTTTTTTTTTAAAGATTTTATTTATTTATTTGACAGAGACAGATCACAAGCAGGCAGAGAGGCAGGCGGAGAGAGAGGGAGAAGCAGGCTCCCCGCGGAGCAGAGAGCCCGATGCGGGGCTCGATCCCAGGACCCTGGGGTCATGACCTGAGCCGAAGACAGAGGCTTTAACCCACTGAGCCACCCAGGCGCCCCTCGCACCCTGCCTTCTTAAGGGCGCAGACAGAGCCCAGGCCACAGGCGCCCCGCAGGGATGTGGTAGCGCAGGTGCGAGGCGCCCGGCCAGGACTCAGCCGTCAGTAGGGACAGGCGGTTAGGGTGCTCTCGGCCAGGCGGGCAGGAAGGGCTTTACCTGAAGATGGGCCCCAGCTCCTGGAAGGTCCGGTGCATCTCCAGGTGGAAGTTCTCGGAGCCCTGCTCCTTCCAGATCTGCAGCAGCCGCAGCCACTTGTTGCCGGGGCACCGGGGTATGGCTTCGAAGGGCTGCACCGCCTTGGGGGCCTCAGCGGCTCTGGTGCCCAGTGTGCGCGCACAGCTCAGGGACAGCCGGCGCCCTGCCAGCCACCGTCGTGCCTTTGCCCCCAGTGCCATTCTGATGCTCCCTCCGCCCCTGGGCAGCGCAACCCTTTTATCTCGCCGGGAGGCCTGGACCGGCCGACCTGATCACGTCATGGGAGAAGCTGTCCCTGGACCAGGCCAGGAAACCCAAGGCAGGGGTCAGGGCTGGAGGCCTCCGGCTGGAGGAAGAGGAAAGAGATGGATGGGTGCCTTGTCTCCCACTTACGCAAGACCTGCGGGCGGGTGGCTGTTGAGAGCCTGTGCGGGGTCTGGCCTGGGGGCTTGGTGGGGTCGGCGGTCGGCGACGGGGGGCAGGGGCCCTTCGGTCCTCCCCAGGGGGAGGAAGGGAGCGAGAGGGATGGCTCCCTTATCTTATTGAGAGAGGAGAGCCGCCTGGGATGGGAGCTGGGAGGAGGGGAGGGCATTAATCCCACTAACCCACAGGCCTTTCTGTCTGCTCTTCCCCAGGCTTTAGGCTAGGTGCAGGGGACCGGGACTCAAACCATGCGCCCTGAGCTGGCAAGAGTCCCCGAGTCCCCGCCAGTGAGTGCTTTCAGTGCTGGGGGTCAGTCAGAGGGATCCAGAGACACGCCTGGGGATGGCAGTGATGTGGCGGAGGCCCCGTGAGAGGCACGCTCGCCTTGGCCCAAGCGGGGCCGGCCCGCCCGGGCCTGTGCTCAGTGCCCACGCCCTCCTTTCTCCTCCTTCGGAAGCGTGCTCTCCTGGATGCAGACTCCGAGCTCAGGCCAGGGGCCACAGGGTTGAGTCTGTGGTGCGGGGTGCTGGGGGCGTGGGCTGTCCACCCTCTGCAGGGTGGATCCACGGTTTGGGGTCCCAGGGCATCTATCCCCCCGATTCCTGGCAGCATTCCCATCGCCGTCATCGTTCCCATGCCCAGACAAGGGGACAGAAGCCCCTCGCTCCTGCCACCTCCCAAGGTCCCCCTCCTGCTGAATCCGTTCCCTGCTCCTGCCCCTTCCGTGGGTTGGTGGCTTGGGGGAAGGTCTTCAGGTGGGGCCGCCGAGGAGTCAGGACGGCCAGGCCCCTTCAGTAAGCTGAGATGTGTGCGGTGCCTCAGCCCCGGAGGGGGCCCAAGCGGTCCTCGGGCAGAGAGGCAGGCTGGAGGCCCATCGGCCCACACCGCGCCGGACGCTCCTGTTGCCCGTCCCTGCCCGAGGGCCCTCCGCCTCCCGGCCCCTCCTGACCTCTGCCGCCCGTTCTCAGGCCTGACAGGGCTATTGCAAGGGGCCGGCTTTCCGTGTCCCCACACGGCCTGCCACGAGGACCTGGGGAGGCAGGTGGCTCGGAGCCAGGCTCTCCTGCGGAGGGGAACGGTGCAGCCGGCTCCAGCAGGGAGGTGCCGGCGGCGGACGGTCCTGCACTTGCCCCGAACTCCCGGTGCCGGCCAGCGCCCCAGTCCCGAGCCCGGGAGCAGGTTCCGGAAAACCCTTCTTGTGAAGCCTCCTCCGTGGTGCGCACCCAGGAGGGCTGTCAGCGCTGCTGCTGGGCTGCGGCTCCCCATGGACCCACAGGCCTGGCAGGCCCTGGGGGGCGGGGCAGGGTGGCTCCTCTGAGGCAGAGCTGGGGGGCGAGGGGCCAAGCGGCCTGAGAGGGAGATCCCCAGCCCTGGCACTGCCCGTTCCTGCTGACAGCGCACCAGTGTGGGAGGGAGAGGAACACGGTCGGAGGCGGGCCAGGGCAAGGCCAGTGCAAGGTGTCCCTGAATGAGGCGGGTGCCCCAAGGCCCAGTGTCCGGAAAAAGATCCGTCTGTTGACGGGCACCCTGAGCCCCGGGCCCGTCTCTGCAAAAGAGCTGAGGCGGGCACGTGGGCTGCTGGGAGCAAGTCCGGCAGGGTCCGCCCTCCTCCTGCCCTGGGGCTTGGGTCCCAGCTTGTCCACACTTTATCCCTGGTCCTTCCTGGCCCCAAGTGCAGGGACGGAGCTCGCCCCCAAGGGGCTTCTCTGACTCCCTCCCCTGGGCTGCGGGCAGCAAACCCAAGCCCGGCCTGGCCCCGTCAGCTGCCTGGCAATGCCAATTCCGCACAGGTCATGGGGAACACGGGGGCCCCTCTTCTGGAAGCAGGGAGCTCCGCACAGAACACGCCCTGGCACCCGGGAGTCCCCACCCCTCTATTTCCATTGTTGTGCCCGAGTTTTCGCGTCCGAGAGACCACCCAGGAGCCAGGCACCGAAGCAGTCACACGAGGGTTTATTTGTCAAGCTTAAGCTTGGGCCCAAGTATACCCGACACAGCGGAGCAGGGACTCGCATCCCCGAGCTTAGTTAAGGCAGGGGTATTTATGGGTTCCTGTTACTAAAGCAGGGTGGGGGTTCCTGGAACCGAAGCAGCGTGGGACTTACTAAAGCAAAGTAGGGGAACGTTCAGCCCTTGGGCACTGGGGTCTGAGACGGCTGCCGGAGCTCAGGTGGCTGTACTTATGCTAAAGCTAAACCTGACGTGGGATGGCCTTAATTTTCTCGGCCTCCACACCACCATATTATGCTCCCAACATGGCATTATGTGTGCACTGGTGCTCTAGGAGAACCCGGGGAGAAACGGGGAACAAGTGCACCCCGATGTCCGGTCGGTGGCAAAGGGCTGTCAAGGCCGCACGGGCACACCACGGAAGGCGAAGCGATGGACACGGGCGGGGCCGGTGCTGCCTCCCTCCCTTCCCCCTCCTTCCCATCCTTCCCTCCCGCGCTCCGCAGGGATCAGCACGTGACCTGGTGCAAGAGAAGCGCCTCTTTGCCTCCCAGGCTGGTAGCTGGCTTCCCCCGGGGGTGGGCAGCGCTGCCACAGGGCCTGCAGGGAGAAGGACCCGCGGCGAGGGCGGGGCCAGGGAAGCAGACAGCCCCGAGTGACGAGGCACGCGTCTCAGCTGCTCACCACGGCACCACACGCTCGGCATCAGGTTTTCAGCACGGCCAAAAGCTAGACACCGGAGTGCACTACATATAGCTGCTTAAGGTCAGGTCCCCCGGGAGGTCTGGGGGAGACGGAGACCCCACGACGGGCCTTACGTCGGGGGAAACGGGGAGGTGGCGCGCGGGGAACGGGAGGTGGACGAACTGCCCGGCCTTCTTCTAGGGCTTGGGCCGGGTCCGGTGCTCTTCCACTCCGAAGAGGGCCCGCGAGAAGGCAACGGACCGCGAGGGCTGTAGGCCAACGTCAGTGGTCCGCGGGCACCAGTGCGGGGAGCCTGCTCTGGCCAGGAAGGACCCAGTCAGGCCCCACGCTGCTGCCGGGTCCCGGGGACGGTAGCTTTGCCCCCGCGGCAGGCTGCGGACCAGCAGAGGGCGGGGCACCTGGTCACATGCTGTGAAGCTCTGGACGGGAGCCCTCCTACCAGAAGGACCGACAGACCAAGGAGCAGACAAACGGCCTCTAGCCATTCCCGAGCTCCCCTCCTCCCAGGCTGGTCGCTGGCCAGGGGCAGACTGCCGATCCGAACGCCAGGCAGAGAGTGGCCCCCACCGTGGCCAGCAGCTCCTGCATCGAGTCTGGGCTCTCTGCGCGCCTCCTGCGGTGCTCGGGGAACATGAGGGGCTCCAAGGGCAGTGTGCTGGCCTTTCAGCTTGTCCTTCCATGCCGGACCAGCACCTGGGTCTGGCCTCGTGGGTGGCAGAGGTGACGTGGGGAGGACTCCGGCAGCGTTTCTCCAACGGACAAACAGCCCCAACGTGCAGACAGCACTGGCCGCCCAGCGCCCTGTGCCTCCCCCCCACTAGGTTCTTTGGGGCCCTCGGGTGCTTTTCCACAGAACATGGGTGTCTCCAACCTCTGGACCTTGGTGCTTCCTGCTTCCCTGCCGGGATCGTCTCCTACCCTGTGACTCTGGGCTTCAGGCATCTCGTTCACCTTCTGCTTCCTGTCCCCACTCTGAGAACTGCAGAGCTCACTGCTTTGAACTTGGGTCTCCGTGAGGCCGGCTCCCGCAGTGGGAAAGGGTGCGTGTGTGTGTGTGTGTGTGTGCGCGCGTGCACGTGTGCGCACACCCACCTCTTCCTCTCTCTGTCCCTCTGCCACCCAGCTTGCTCACCAGTGTGAGATGGGACAGCACGAGACAATGAGAGGGCTGTCAGCGAATCTTGCCATCCGGAGTGGACGTCACTCTCTCCAAGCCAGGCAGCTGGACCGACCTGACGCTTTCTGTGCTGGGTGCTTCTCTGGCGCGGCTCTCCCTTGCAGTGTTCTGACGTCGCCAGCTGCCTCTGTATTCCAGGTGGTCACTGGAGAAGACGCTGACAGCCCGAGGGCTGGTGAGGTGTGCTCATCACCACCCACGCCTGCCCGGGTGCCCCCATCCCACTACTGAGTGGGTAGCAAGAGGGACCCATGCTGGCTCACAGGCCCAGGGGCCCTCCCCTGGTCCACGGAAGACATGGGTGCACCTCCCACCCCAGCAGCACGGATGCAGCCTTTTCCTTTGGCCACCGTTGCCTGGGATGTATATTTCCATCCTGCGACTCTCAACCTCTCAGGAAATTGCATCGGAGACAGTGGCTCCTGGAGTGCCGTGCAGAGGTGTCTGGTTGCCCATCTCAACTCGGCGTCTTTTCCTCCCAAATTCATTCTGTTGACATACGCGTGATAACTGATGTAGAATAATTATACTTCACGTTCTGTTTTCAGATTACCCCATGTTTTCCGTTTGTGTCGTTTTTCGTGGTTTTAAGACGCGCAGAGTGAGAACTTTACCTTCTTGACCATTTTGTAGTGCTCAGCTCAGTGGTGTTAAGTCGAATCAGCTCGTTCTGTGTCCATCACTGCTACCCACCTGCAAGTCTCTTTTCATCCCATACAACGGAAACGTTTTGCTGAGGAAACCATCCATACCTCCCATCTCCCTTGCCCTGCCCTTCAGCCCCCTTGGCAAATCCTCCACGGTTCTTACTTTGAATATTGCCTATGCTTCCCCTTCCCTTGACTTCTTTGGAGTTCTCGCTGCTTCTCTACACTGTGTCCTCCACTGGCCAAGCACTTGGGTCTCTCGCTGCATTTCCCATCTCTTTTCCTTTCTGTGAATTTC